AGAAGTAAGCAGTTCTGGCGATCGCGAGACTGAGAACATCAGTATCGGTGGCGGCTGCCGGGAAGAACTCCAAGGCTGTATCTAGCAACGCGATCGAGGGTCCTGCAACGACGTCCGTTAGCCGGTCGTCTTCTAGAGTACTCTGGAGACGATGGATTCGAGCATACCCGCTGCCAGAAAGTTACACATCATCATGGCGAAGCATATCAACCCCGCCATGTAGTACTTGTACCATTGTGGCCTAAGCGAGTCAGCTGAAAATCCCTGGCTTCTTTGACGATCTAGGTCGCCAGTCCAGTACCTACCAGTTTAAGGGGTCGTTTGGATCTGCTGATGGCGTCGGGATCAATATGATCTCGTTGGTCTCTGGATGCCTTAAACGAACGTTTCCCAACGTCCTCGCCCGCGTTGTTTCCTCCGCTACATGTCTTGTGTTGCTATCCATTACTGGATTTGTGTCGAGAGCCCCCCGTGTTCTGACGATTCTGACGATGCAGTTTGTCTGCCCTCGGCTCGGGATCTCTGGAAGGTTATGGGGCCCTTTCTCCAGAGGGAGTCTTCTAGAGAAGTCACGGCGCACTGTTTGCAAGCCGGGTGAACGGAATCGTCCGGAATTCCGTTCCAAGAAGTTGGGGAGTAGTGAGAAGCGGCTACTCCCCCTGCTTGAAAAAGACGAGCCCGATCGATGAAACGGTCGAGTCCAGGCGTATCTGCCGCGTCGATCGTTCAACGTGGTTGCATCAAAAGGGAGGTATAGGCGGGCGCGGACGTGGTTCACTGCTACTACTACCTAGCACTTTGCAGAGAGAAGAGAGACGGCAAAAGGTTTAAGCTTTACTGTCTCGGTAGCCCGTCGTTGATTGGATTCTGTGGGGAAACATGGGGCTTCTTTTTCAACAATGTCAAACACAGATGATTCGTTGGTATGATCTCTGAGAAGATGAAAAAGAAGAGATGACCAGTAGAGAGTCGCCGCAGACGAGGAACAAAGAACAATAGCGGGGGAACAGCAAGTCGCGAACGAGTTTGAAGGGTGACTGATGCAAAGTCTGAACCTGGCGTCGCAGCTCTCTCGAGAACGACAACAGCTACCTTTCGGTAGTCTGTGTGTACGGATACACTCACTACCTAGTACCTGGTGATACCTTGGAGAGGCCGACGCGTGGAGTCGCAGTGATGGATGGTGCGTGAGGGCCGCCAGGGACACTGGATGGCACATCCCAAGAGCCAAAGGACGGACGGGGATAGGCAACGGGCCTAAGCAGGAGATTATCAGGCCCCAACCCTGCTCACCGAATTTGAGCACTAGGGTAAATGAGGACAGACTTGGCACGCAGAGGAATGGGAACAGACAAGGATTTAGCCGCAGCGGCCACTGTCTTATCCGCGACTGAGGGGTATTCGATTTCAAGGGGCCAAGTTCCACCAACAAGCCTTTTGCCAAGCCTTTGGACATGGGCGACCGAAACATGACCAGAGGAAAACCAATTGGTGGGTTCTAGCAGGAACGCTAGTGAAGGAGCCAACGAGGGAGTAAAAAGGGACAGATGACAGATGCGACAACCTCCGAGATGAGACGTACGCAAGTGTCCGTCTTTGCATACTTTGTTCACACGGAGTCTGACGGAGAAGAGAGAAGAGACGGAGACAAGGTGACAGGCAAGCAAGCAGGGAAGACCTCGAAAGTCGAGACATGTTCGTCCTGCGCGCTTGCGAACAGACGTCAGACACCAAAAGTGTGCTGGTGCTTGATGATGATGATGATGATGAAGATGCTGATCATCTTAACTGGGAATCATGGACTACATGGAAGTTTACAATGCAGTCCAGCCGAGTTCCGCCCCGCCCAAACCCGCCACCATCGCACGCGTAAGATCAGTTGTAAAAGGTTTCCCGTCCTTGAACAGGTCCAAGCCTTGCTGGAAAGAGCCTCAAAGAGAGGAGAAGAGTTTGTGCCGCATGAACTAAGCATAGGACCCAAAGTGCCGTTTTCGGCCATCAGCTCCGGGTTATGATCCACGGTGTGCCAGTCTTACGTGGTGAGAAAGTGTGGCTGGTGCTTAATATGGGGTTGAAAAAGTAAAAAAGAGGTAGTACACTAGTCGGCTAGTGTGCCAGAGCCGGCGGAGAGACCCTGGCATGCCGCATGTCTCGTCTAGGAGACGCGCAACGCGCTCCCCACGCAATATCTGTGAAGGGATATGTTGCCGTGGACACTAGACAACCGTCAGTAAACACTCCATAGTAATGCTTCTCGACCGTGGAGGCCGGGCAAAAGAAAAGCCTCTAGAGGCCGCTCATGTGGTTCTTGACGGATCCCGCCAGCCTCGCTTGCGGGCAGTGCACTGCATATGCATCTACGACGCTCGGAGAGTGCCGTTCCTGGAATGTGTCAACGACATGCAGAGCCGTTATCTCTTCGTTCGTGGGCCGAGGTCGACAAGGCAGGCTTGGATGATGTTAGAGTCCCAGACTCCAGAGATGTCGGATGTGAGGGCCGAGGCGGGTAGGCGAGGGTTGACCAGTTGAGCGGTATACAACTATGGATCTTAGAGGAGTGGACTTGCATGCGCCAGTCGCTCCGTGATGCCTCATTCTTCTCTTCCTCCACACGGCTCTTGTGTATGGCCAGGCGATGGACCAATTTCATGGGCTCGTATTCTGGTGATTAGAGTAAGGAGTGTTTCAACATGACGTTTCTTCCATCTGACTTACAACAAATAGAGTAAGGGCATGGGCATCGTCGGTTGAAGTTTACCATGTTTCCATCTTTGGGCCCTGGTCGTTGGCGCCGGCGGGTTAAAAGTTGAAACAACGTGAACTCGTCATGGCCCTATAGGTGATGGAGCCATGCGAATAAAGACGCGTTTGCTTTTGTTCAGCTTGCCCCAGATGCCCCGTCAGGTAAGGCAGAATTCAAGCTTCATGCCACGGGTCCATCGACGGTCAAGATATTAGGGTTGCCGGGATATGTTTGACGAGGCTTAAAGGGAGGGGAGGGGCAGGCAGGCTTTCGTCATCCTGCGACTGGCAGACCGCAGAAGCAGCAAACACACCAGACACGGCGGGCTGTCATCTGAAGTTGTGAGTGTCTGGAGTAGTGCGCTCCAATGAGTGGACGAGTTGATGATAGTCGAGACCAAGAGCAGAAGAAGAAGTGTGGTCAAATTCCGCCCGCAGTGTTGGCGCAAGTGGAGGAGACGACGTGGAATCAGAGATGCAGCAATCAGATGCAGGGTGAGGGAGGATGGTGTGGGGCCTCTCCGCCGACAGGAGTACGTACCTACATTACAATCTTGCCTAAGGTAGGTAGGGACGTAGTATGTACTGCGCAATGTACCTGAGGAAGGCACCTTCTAAGCGTGCGCTAGTGAGTGTACGTACTCAAGCCACCAGAATGGAGATGGTGTACTTAACCTTGCTAAGGTCTAGCTAGCGCAGACAAGTACCGCGGCGCTAAAGACCCTAAGGTGGTGTACAAACGAACAGGAAGGCAGGGAACCTTGGACTTGTGTCTAGTGCCACGACCCAAGATGATTTTGAGCGACGTGCTTTTGGATGAGGAATTGCGTGGTGCGTAATTGCTATGGTGAAGGGTTCCATTATCAAAATTACTGGGGGAGATCTATCAATAGAGGATGAGTGAGCTCTCCACCCCTGAGCGGGTCTCCATCGGGGAGAACCATGGCACCAAGCCTTTTCGGGACAACCGAACAGGCTCAGGGATGGCACGGATATTAGGGCCTACGTAACGCTCCTGTTCAATTCCGTGCCGATGTTTTCTACGCAGCACTTGCACACATCTGCAGCTGTGCAGCGCAGCGCAGCACCTCACTGCAGAGTGCACCTACCTAAGGTGCCTACCTACCCTGTCCATCAGGTGAATCAGACAAGACGGAAGGCATGACAGTCAGTGGCTTCCTTCCATCCCTTCTATTGTGCATCACATTCTCATAAGGTACCTACCTTCCATATTGCAATGGTCCAATCAACATCTTTGAGTATCTAATCTTCTGATAATGTCTAGAGTCTAGACGCCTTGTTCTTGGGAAGGAAGACATGCCATCTGCATCCCGTCTGCATCTTCTGCTTTCATCAACCGCCGGAATCCCACCTGAGGCACGGAGTACTCAACATGTCTCTTCCCTCCACTTGGCACCGGACTCTGGACTCTGGACGACTGACGAGCACCACCCTGTCACCTGTGCCTCTCTGAACTCCGCGTCTGGAGTCCCTTGGAAGTCTGGTTACTGGTCACTGATGTTTTCTCATGGGGAACTGCTGGGGCCGCTACGGGGATCCCTGGGCCGCCGAGTCCCCGATGTCTACTTTGTGTGCTACAGTTTCCGCCCATCGCGTGCACAACATTTTCAACTCTTCAAGTATCCCAGTACCTCAACTACCTAGAACACCAGCAAGGACAAAAAGGTATCTGTACCTTATCTGCGGATACTAGGTAACCGCAGTCGCAGCACCGTCTTGCGCCAGCTCCTGCGCCTGGCAAGTCATTATCCATCCCATCACGCTGCACCGAGCTGCATAGATGCAGGGCTTTGCTTCTCCGTCCACGGCGAGCGGAGAGGAAGTTTCCGCCGCTCGATTCCTCACTCCACTCGTCAATTTGCTTTTCCTGGTCAGGACGCATCCTCATGGAGACTTGCGATCTCATCCTGTGCGGCGGTGAATCCGGTCCATCCCGTCAAGTCAGTTGCCGCTGTGAAAAGGCAGAAAGACCACCGCAGTTTTGTCTGGCCAAGCCGGCTAGGCATTTCGTCACGTTCGTCGCGAGTCATAATGAACGGGGTCAATTGACTTTTTGTCCAGTGTTTGAGCCGACCCGATCGGCAGCGCAAATCGATGACTCGCCCCTACCAAGATCTTGGACATCGATTGCCTTTGAGCCAAAGAAAAAAAAATAAAAAAAAATAAGGGACAGCCGGAGTGCTCCGAACAAGGCCGCCCACGAGGCCCAGAGATGGATAAAGAGGCCACGACTGGAAATGGCAATGCAGCATACGGATATCATGCCTTCTGCCCGTCTCAAACCAATTCGCATCGGGACTTTGGTCAACGGGGGTCGTGGCCAGCATTGGCAACATGTCCATCAACTGTTTCGAGCGACTGCCAGGATGTCCGATTACTTCCATATGAATGGCTCCATCTGCTTACCTACGTTATCCACTAGACGGGCTGAATTTGTCGGCTCGGGATCTTTCTCTGGAGAGACGCGTGCGCGTGCGGGATATGACATGCTGGCCCACAATTATATACATACCTACACCAAGAAGCCTCGCCCTCTTCAACAGCGGAGGATTGTGAAGCATCGGTTAGCATCGTCTGATGATGTTGCCCGTTATTCTCAGCCTCAGACTGCTTCAAAATGGGGTTTGGCCGGTGTGTGTATCCGTATATGTGTGTCCTGGATACTCCAAGGTTATCCATCCGACCTCTTGCGATGCCATCTGCCGGCTGATGTTGTCGTCGATGCCAGAGACCAAGACAGAACTGAATAGGACAGGGGGAGCTTCTTCGAACACTTGGTGAACACGCACACGCACATACCGGTAGTCATACAACGGCCCGGATACTACAACAGTCTAGTCGAGGCCAGGCCGGACTCTTGTTTTACAGCAGCTACACCTCTGAATCTCTGAATGATCATTGGCAGCATCAGCTCAAGACACCTTCTTACTCGGTAGCTAGCACCTACCGTCTTCGCGGAAAAGCCGCGACGTCGTCGTCTCAGTGCTCGGCCGTCAATGGACCCTTGCGCGTCGCCTCGGCCGGGATCTAGGTCTGGGTCTCATTCTCCAGTCGCCCTGCATAACTCCAGACCTGGTCGTTCCACCAAATGCAACCAACGCCCGAGTTTTGGGTTTCGAAGCTCTGGCAGCTCGAGCCTTTCCCCTTTGAGGTCCAGCGCCGGCCAGAGGATGACGAGGCCACCCCCGATCGCTGTCTTTGGTTCCTCTAGGGCAGCCCTCGCATTCGACGTGTTTGGCCCGTCAAGCCAATATACTCATCACCAGCGGCCGACGTACTACAATGTGGCGTTGAAATAATACCACGAATAGTACCGTGATTGAACTGACGCGGCACCTTACCACGTCCACCAGGTCCATGAGGTCTCCAGGTCGGCCTTCTTTTTTCGTCCCGCTTGCGAACCGCAGCCGGTACCAAGTTACGAACGGAGTACACCGTACCGTACGGAGTACCTACCTACCTTACCCTCTTGCATAGCGCCGCCCCCAACATCCACGGCCACAGCTTCCCATCCGCGTCTGCGTGCTCAATGCGCCTCACAGACGCTCCAGCAACTGGGCTTTTACGGATACAACCAGGCTTATTTCGACAGACAAGTACCTACCTACCCTACCTTACCTCACCTTACCTACCTTACGAGTACGTACCTTGTCTTTTTTAGAGGAGTCGTCCCGCTCACAGCCTGAGTGAGCAGCAGCTGCTTCCATGTCCCACAGTTCACAGTCCACCATCCACCAGGCTATTCTTTCCCCTTGCCCCAAGGTCCAACCCAACCTTGTCTCCATTACCTCACATCAAGGTACCTCTACCGCTATCCATACGCCTACCTGTACCTTACATGACCTTGCTTTTACTTTACCTTGACTTGGGCCTTGGCTTGGCTACGATTAACTACCACTACCTTACTTGTGCTTGTTCTACTACTACTACGGCTTCTCCCCGAGCTCAACTCCAGTCTCAACTTACCTCGAGTCAAATCAAAGACTCTCGGCAACAAGACAAGTCAGGTTTAAGCTAAAGCCCTCAACGTTCCCAAGAAAAGACGACACAAGTTCTTGTCCCGCAGTTTTCTGGTCTTGGCTGCAGCCGCACGCTTTTCGCTCTAACTTGGGTTATTATTTGGCTTGCACCCACACCGGCCACCAGCACCAGCACCAGCACCAGCACCAGCACCAGCACCAGCACCAGCACCAGCACACTCGAAGCACAGCACCAAAGCTCTCAACCTACCACCTACCTTGAGCAAGCTTCTGCACCTGATCCGCCGCCCTTGGCTCATATTTCCTTTTTGTCTCCCTCTCCCGACAACCTCCCACATCGGATCTATCCTTCCTGAGGCCAGGTTTGCAAAACTTTTTTGCCTTCACAACATTCTTTTCCCCCCCTACCTTCCGTCCAGCTTGCCGACACAGCCGTCGCGCGCTGCCGTTAGCAGCCAACCATCTTCTTCCGACCGCTTACGGTTTACCACCGCTCCGTCCGGCGCCGTTGGCCTTTTCACGGCCGATTTGCCGGACCCGCCCCGACCTTCACTAACACAACATCATGATGGACGGTGGTCACCACAACATGATGCCAACCCGGGGCGTTGGTACCGATGACCAGCGGGTTTCTGCTTCCAACAGTAACACCAACCCCCTCGCCTCCGGTCCTTCTCCGAATGCCACAATAGTCGTCTCGGCAGCACCTTCATACAACCCTAATGGTCCCTCGCAATCCGTCTCTCCTTCACCCGTGCCAACAGCTCAATCTCCCTATCCCACATCAACCCCGGGCGGCACCCAGAGCCACGCTGCTACCGCCAGTCTGTACCAGTGTGCTCACTGCCAACGGCGGTATTCTCGACCTGAGCACCTCGCCCGTCACATCCAGACCCATACTCTTGGAAAGCGATTCGCGTGTCAGATATGCGGCAAAGCCTTTGCGCGCCAAGATCTCCTCAAGCGGCATGTCACCAATCACGAGAACGACAATGACCCCAACAAAAAGAGACGTCGCACCGATACCTCACCCGGTGCCGGCCGTGTCTCTCACGCCTGCAGACCTTGTGCCACGGCTCGTGTCAAGTGCGAGGAGCAAAAGCCATGCACCCGTTGCCGGAATCGCAACCTAAACTGCGAGTACTCATCTACCGAAGCCGGCTCAGCTGCGGCCATGCATCTGCTTCATCTCTCGGGAAACCCGCACCAGACAACATCAACGCCCGGATCTCTTGCCACATCTCCCTCACAATCTGCCTATGATAGCAGCCCCTCAACAGCGTACCAACAGAACCCTCAACATGCAATGCTGCCGCCCAGAGACGACAGTGGCCAGCTGGGACCTGCTCACACCATCAAGTCGGAATCAGGCCGCATACCAACGACAGAAAATGCCATGCAACAAGTCAACGCCTCCGGCATGCCTGTTAACTACGAGATCGGCAACCAGCAAGGTGTCGACATGACCTTGCCTTTCTCAGACTTTCTCCAAAATGTCATCTACACAGGAGAGATGGAAGCGTCGCGCATGGCCGAGGCACAGGGTCTAGCTGTCCTGGACTTTTGCGACAACTCGAATCTCGAACTGAACGAAGTGGACTTTGGCCTTCTGGATCATTGGAACATGGACGGCATGGGAAATACCGGATCCAACCAAAGCTTCACGCCTCGGACCGACGACTCTGTCGATTTGGTCCAAATGCGCCAAACGCTTGTCAAGGTCTGGACAGAATCACCGTGGCAATGGGCGCCCAACAAGCTCGACTCGGGCTATTTGGAGCACCCAAACTTCTCCGTACCATCCGACGACACAAGCAGCGCTGTTTTCACCGAAAGCCGGAAGAAGCACGCGAGGATTGTCAGGGACAAACTAGACCAGTCGGGCCGGGATCAGATTTTGGCAATCGTCTTGTCAACCTGCAAGAACGACAACATCATGAGCCGCGTCGCATCCTCTTTTCCGTCCCTTGAGGTGATGGACAGCCTTATCCACATCTACCTGGCGCAACATTTCTGCCAGACGTCACAATGGATTCACCACGGCTCGTTCTCCATGAACGCCCAGTGGCCAGAATGGCTAGCTGTGGCAGCTTCAGCTGGGGCTACCCTCACTCCGGTGCAAACCTTGCGCAAGTTTGGGTTTGCTCTTCAGGAAGCGGTCCGAGTTACCATCCCGGCAAGGTTCGAGGATGCCAACACCACGATCAAAAATCTCGGCCTTGTGCAGACTCTGATCCTGGGCCAAGACATTGGTCTGTGGAGCGGGAACCGACGCAAGATGGAGATCGCCGAATGTCATCTCATGATTCCTATTACGGTAAGTAGCTATTTTCAGCTGTCCGTCTCCCACAGCCTGGTCGCTAATGCTTTGCATAGATGATGAGATATCGCGGCAAATTCCAGCGAGCATCGTACCCCATGGTCGAGGTCAATATGTCGGACGAAGGCGAAGTTTTGGAGAAAAAATGGAGGGCCTGGTGCGAGCGTGAGTCGTGGAAGAGGTAAGCTTATAGACCCAAAGGTCCGGGATATCCTTGTGCTAACGCATTTAGACTACTTTTCCACTGCTTCGTGCGAGACGCTCAGACCTCCATGACAACACTCACCAACCCCTCCATGTCGTACTCGGAACTCACCCTGCCCCTCCCTGAAGCAAAGGAGCTGTGGTTTGCAAAGACGGCGGCCGAATGGAAGATGCACTATCTCGAACGAACGAACGGACAGAGCAAACGACCACCTTCGATCGGTGATCTCTTCCGGGACATCAGTTTGTTGGCGACGAACCGCCAGCGACTAGATCTGCAATTTGCAATCTCGATATACCTGCATGGCTACTGGGCGCTCATTCTCGAGTATCTCCAGCTGTGTTCCGTCTTGCGCACCCGGACTTGGCTGAACAACTCTGGAGGGAAGTCTGAGGAGGTACTACGTTCCAGACATGCGGAGCTTTGCAAAGACCTGCAGGGCTTCTTGCTGGTCACTTCCGACTGGCACGAGATGCTTTCGACGCAGGAGAGTCTGGTGCTCCATCTTCTCATGATGAACCTGCACCTCTCCCTCAACGATTTACAGCTCTTCTCTGGCAAGGAAGGCGAGGACCAGGCGCGCCGGGTATTCGGTGACCTGCGCGAGTGGTCGCAGAGCGCCGAGGCGCGCCAGTCGCTCTGGCACGCAGGCCAGATCCTGCGTCAGGCCAAGATGTTCCCCCAGGGCCATCTCAAAGACTTTTACGCCATCGCCGTCCACCATGCGGCTCTGGCGTGCTGGACCTACGGGGTGGTCGCCAAGACGAGCGGCACGGGGAAGACGCCGGTGCAAGGGTTCGACCAGGAAAAGGTGTTTCTGGACGGCACCGAGTCGAACCTGGTGCACCGATTCATTGGCTTCAACCAGGGGCGGCCGGTGATCCTAGGACCCATGAGTAGGGCCGGCGCCACCGAGGCGTCACTCGACGATCCCAAGGCGTGCATGGAAGTGGCCCAGGAAGTGCTCCGGGCCAACTTTCGCGAGTCGGCGGATCTTCACCCGCCCATTGTCGAGAATTTGTGCCTGCTGATCAAGCAGCTAGGCCACGCTGCTTGGGCAGTCGGCATGTCATGATGATTTGTTGTTGTTGTTATTCATTACGAGCCATATTTTGATATTTCTTCTTACTTTGTTTGTTTTGTACTTCACGAAGAGGCGTCTAGAGGTAAAATGGCGGTCGGTTGTATACCCATGTATCAAAAAAGTTACCTGTCTGCGGCTTCTTTCCAAAGAAGGTGTCTTGC